GTTTCTATCCAAATTTGATGTAATGAGTTTCTTTTAATGGCTTGATCTCCCTGTAGCCTCATAGATATTTCTTTTTATCCACAGAGTGTTCACCCCAACAAACTGTCTAACAGACTTACTAGAGAATCAAGATGTGTCTGCTATTCTGGATGACAACGCAGGCCTTGAGTACCAACTTCCAAGGCACCAAAAGTGTGCATGCCATCTCCTCAATCTTATATCCACAGTTGATGCCACTGCTGCAGGAGGAGCTGCCAGCGAAACCTACAAGAGGCTGTCTTGGTCTGCTTTTGCAAAATGTCATGCTCTTTGGAATAAAACCAGCAGGTCAACCATGGCTCATGAAACAGTGGAACGTGAATGCAAGTTGCAGTTTCTCCGACCCAGTCAGACACGTTGGAGCTCCCTGTTCCTCGCTGTAGAAAGGATTGTGCGCATCCACAGAGAGCAAGGAGAACAAGCAATTCGCAATGTCTGCACAGCATTAAAGATAAAGATGTAAGTTGACAAAACTTATATTTTGTTTTTAAAGAATAATAAAAATAAATGAGCCTTGCTGACTAATGAGTGAATCCACCTGTCTCAAGTAACTTATTTTTCTTTGCATGGTGGTGTGACAATTGTGGATGATTTGAATGAAATAATTTAACTAATTTATTTTATTTTTATTTATTTGTGTATTTAATATGGACAATGCACAATAAATACATTGTACCAGAAATAGCTATGTCTTTTTTTTATTTTTTTTTATCGTTACATCTTTTATAGGTTCAGTCCAGCTGAAATGGGATTTTTGGTCGAGTATGCTGCTGTGATGAAGCCTGTTGTCATGGCCCTTAACATCCTCCAAGGGGAATCATCTGTGCATATGGGCCTCCTGCTGCCAACACTTTACCAATTGCGGGACAAGCTGAAGAGGCTGGAGGTATCTTGCAAAATATGTACACCTCTTGTTCACGTCCTGCAGAGAGGGATCCAGAAACGTTTTTGGGACGTCATGAAAGAGCCTGAGCTGATTGCAGCAACACCAATACTCCTACCAAGATTCAGAACATCCTGGACCACAGAGGAAAACATCTTAAATGCTGGTAAATATACTTGTTTATCAATTCAAATGTGAACCAGTAGACATTGACATATATAAATCTGTATAATGTTGCTGTCATTTAGGATTATAGTGTGTCAGTGACAAACCACAGGGTGGCAATAGTTAGAAGCTCAGGTAGCTTTTAATGTCAAACATCAGCAGCTTGACAGCATATACAGTAGAAGGGTAAGAATAATGTGCAGACCTAATTATTTTGAAAACGATTTGTCTTGCCACAGGCCTTGACTACATCAGAAATCACCTCGACTTGGATGATGTCACCAGCACAAACAGCAACCTCTCTGATGAAGATGACTTCTTTGCATCCATGGAGTCAGGAAAGTCACAAGTAGGAGAGCTGGAGAGGTACCTTTCATGTCTGTCCACTGCAGGTATGGATCTACTCCACACCTTTCCTCACATCAAGAAGCTGTCACTCAAAGTCAACACGATCACGATCACAGCTTCACTGCAAGAACCTTGAGAGCCAACTACTGTTGAAGCTTAATAGTCACATCACTGAGTGATTCTTTGGTGAAAATGTTTGTTTCTGCATGTTTTGTCACAAACACACAGACTCAAACACACACACGCACAGTTTGAGAGTTTATGGGCTGTCTTGTTCTAGTTCTGCCTGCTGAGCCTGGTGAAAAATTAGAAAGGATTGGAAATTTGTGTTACTGTGCTGTAATTTAAGTTATTTTGTAAATATTTAATTTAATTTATTTTTATTTTTTATTTATTCTATTATTATTTCATTGATTTTATTTTTTTATTGAAGTACTTGAATTTACCTTAAGATTATTTTAATTTAAGTTATTTTGTAATTATTTAATTTATTTTTATTTATTGTATTATTTTATTGATTGGATGAACTCTAATTTACCTGAAGATGATTATTTTGTATTTTTGTCTGTCTGATTGAATGCTTGTGTTAACAAATAATAAGTAATAAGTAATTTTTTACTCTTACTCAAGTAATTATTTGGATGACTACTTTTTACTTCTACTTGAGTCATGTTATTCTGAAGTAACACTACTTTTACTTGAGTACAATTTTTAGCTACTCTACCCACCTCTGCTCGATTCCATATCTTTAGTCTCTTGGAATGTGCGTGTGTTACGACCCCTAGCTCGTGGTGGGAAAAGGGAAGCAACATAAACCAGTTGTAATTGGTAAAAGTAAAATTATTTATTAAACAAGTTTTGGCAAACAGAAATTGTGAGGCGAAGCTAAAGGAAAGGGCTGATGGATGCTGCTCAACTTAAAGAAACAAATAGAACCAAAACTAGAGTATTAATGAGACTAAATAAATCAAAAGCAAGAAACAAAATCGTTAACTAACTCTTGACTGGTTCAAAACATAACACAATTAGAGCAGCACCCCTTAACCTAGTGTGTCTAAACAGTAGAGATACCTGTCAGTATTGTTAGTGCAAATCAGTTATTGAACCTTACTTTACCTAGCCCAGTCCTATCTATCTAGTGCCTCATATACTTCAATCATTCAAGTTAATGCCACATTAACATTTACATAACTCGGGAGACACGTTTGGCAAGCTGCTCTACAGCCGCCCCGATTGATGATCTGGCTGAGGCTTATATAGCCTTGCTCCTCAACTGCAGCCTGGGGATTGGTGGAGCTGATGTGGTACCGTGCCAATCCAAACGAAGGAGACGCGGCCAGGAGATGGAAGGTGGAGGGAAGGCACACCTCCTCAGCGTGAGCCAATCAGGTGCAGGGGATCACACAGCCTGCTCAGCATGAAACACACAACTATACAAAAAGTTAAACTATGAGGCAGGGGTAGGGCGGCGGTGGCCGTAACAGCGTGGTTTAGGCCATTCTATTAAGCCAGGTAAAGTTTTTGCACATTTGAAGTCACTGAAGTCTGGCATTATTTTCTTGCAGGAAACACACGTTAAAGCTACCGAGCACAGGAAACTTAGGGCTAACTGGATTTCACAGGTGCACCAGGCACCTTTAACATCTAAGGCCAAAGGTGTTGCCATTCTCTTCCGTAAGAATGTACCTTTTCATTTTCATTCATCTACAGTTGACCCAAAGGTTTATAGTCTTAACAGGCCATTTCAATTTACTTCCCGTTACACTGGTAAATATTTACGGACTGAACACTGACAACCCAGCTTTTTTTTCATAAGGTATTTGACCTGATCCCAGATAACAATTCAAGCCATATAGTAATTGGGGGTGACTTTAATTGCTATCTGGACCCTTATTTAGATGTGCAGAGCCTTAACAATTTAATGAAGTCAAAGATGGTAGTAGACATTTGGAGACTGCAGCTTCCATCTGATCACGATTATTCTTTCTACTCTCATGTACACAGATCATATACACAGATTGATTACTTTTTAGTAGATTAAAGATTAATCTCCAATATCGACCACACCAAATATCACAGCATTATAATATCTGATCATGCCCCTGTCGCTCTCAACCTTCAACTGTCCCTAAGATGGCATTTTATCCCCTTTTTACTAAGGGACCAGACATTTAAAGAATCTATTATGACACACATTAAGCAGTTCCTTGAGACCAACGATAACAGTGAGGTGAATGATT